TGGCTTTTATGTGGCTTCATGTCTTGAATTTCAAGCAGCCTCAACTCAGCGGTGTAAGGAGGCTTGGAGTTCACATCAACAAACAATAACATTCTGTTTAACCTAAGCACTCGCGGCAATTTTGTTGTCTGCCGCTTACAATGCTTGAGATCGGATTCGGTTTCTAATTGGATGGATTCTTACTGGCTGTAAATGTTTCGTCATTTATCAGCTAGAAAAAAAAATGTTTTGATAGTGATTCCACCAATATTGTTCCTCTGTGTCATTATTGTTATAGTTGCTTAATTCTATTTTCATAGAATTAGAACTTACTGTCCTAGGTGCGAACAGGCCTTAAAACAGAATCGAACATTAATCACTTTTAATGGAATTTCCCCGAATGCTACATTAAAGGAACACTCCACTATTTGAAAATAGGCTCATTATCCAACTCCCCTAGCGTTAAACAGTTGAGTTTTACCGTTTTCAAATACATTCAACCGATCTCCGGGTCTGGCGGTACAGATTCAACGATCTATGCTAAGCGTGCTACCGCCAGACCCGGAGATCCGCTGAATGGATTCGAAAACGGTAAAACTCAACTGTTTAACTCTAGGGGAGTTGGATAATGAGTCTATTTTCAAAAATAGTGGAGTGTTCCTTTAATTTAAGAATCCGCTCTGCACTGAATACAAAAAGCAGACTAAGGATAAGTGAAACCTCTCCATCGATATGCATTCAGTTCTCATTCTTACAAAAAGGACTGAAAAGATTTTGTTCATGGCCACTTTACATTCTTGGTCTTCCTCCATAACGCTGGCAGGAGACATGAACTGATTATGTGACCATGCGCACAAAGGCCAGCACACATTAAAAAGGGTTTAGCAGATCTCTGATCACGGGGGTCAAACTCCATCCATCTCTCTCTCTCTCTCAATCAATCACACACACTTTACTATGCCTGCGATTCTTTGACCCAATTACGTGCCATGCGCACTAAGGCTCCTCATCATCGAGCAGCTTCTGTTCCTTCATCTTCTTTCCTGTTACAGTAACCACACAACGTCCTCGAGTAAACCTCAGTCTTATCGTTGCTATAACATGTTATCAGATTTCAGTGCATAACGACTAAATACAGACCCACTTCTCACACCTTCTTTAACTGACAAATTTTTTTTTTTTTTTGCATTTTTTGTATTTGCATATTTTCACCCCCAAAAATGTATTTTCTGTCATCATTTACTGACCCTCGTGTCGTTCCAAAATATGACATTCTTCAGTGCAAACAACAGAAGCCTTTCACTCCTTATTGCTTTTGCATACATTAAAAATGAACGGTGACTGAGGCTAGCAACATCTCGTTTTGTGTTCAGCGGAAGAAAGTCACACATGACTTTTTGGGGTAACCACCCGTTTCGTAAAAACGCGACGCGGCGATATGCGTCCGTGTAGCGCGTGTAAAAGCCAGCGATTAAGAAACAGCGCAAACGGAGCACAAAAGCTCGCTCTATATTATAATACACTTCACGCCACACCCACGCAGACATGGCGCTGTCTTCAGCTCTGCATGCATATTATTGCCCTCCAGTGTCACTTACTACATGTAATGCAAAGTTGACTTTTACCTCTCTCGATCGAGGTAAATCAGTATTACTCTTTAAGCCATGTGAAATACCCAGATGCGCTCATATGAACAGCATGTCGTTTTCTATACGAGTTTTAAATACAATTCTCAAATGAAACAAAGGCGCCCTGTTCGCACATACTCACCTCGGACATGGTTGTAGATGTTTCAGTCTGTTACAATGATATGCTTGAAGACCCGCTGTGACGGCAGCGCGATACTCCGACGATTGCTGTAGTATGGGCTGGCACGCCCGTGGCCACGCCCCCTTGCACTCTATTGGCTGCTGGGGCATGTACTGCGCAATGTATCCAATCAAATTCACTGAAATGTAGGTCTTTCAACTGGGCCACAGGGTCACGCTAGGGATGCCAGATTAAGAGTATTGTGCAAATGCCTTTATTCAAAGAGAAGCTACTCATTTCAACAGAAGTTGAGGTGTCTTATGATTTATTTATTTTTTTTAATCAGTGGTTCTGAACTTAGGGGTTTGGACAAACAACTGATCCTTAGTTTGATGAGGTGGCCTATTGTTAATGTATGTAAAAACAATCCACAAATATAACTAAAATACAAATAAAGGTTTATGTAACCAGGGCTGCGTTCAGCCCTGACAAAAACGTTGCAAAATGTTTTTAAACGGAAACGGTGGTGCGTTGAACACCCTGTTCTGATGACGCAAGAGTTGCAGCTATGGCAGCTGAGAAGGCCATTCTTTGTGTTCTTTTTGAAGAATTTTCGGAGCCTGATGAAATCGGTATAAGTACGTGTTTAATACTGCAAAATACGCTCGATGTTACAGTCACTGCCCTTGCCCTCCAGAATAAAAGAGAACATCTCAATCGAATGAAGGGATTTGTGGAAACTGTGGTTCCTAATTATTGTGATCCAACATTTGCCTCGCATTTCAGGATGAAAAGACAAACGTTTCAGGTGAAGAACAATCCACTTCTTACCTCCGATACCTGTGTTATGATCTATATGACCTTATTATTTTTATTGTGAGTATTCGGCTTATCATTAATGCTGATCACTGTTGTTGTGCTATGATATTGTAATATTTACCATTATATAATCAGAGGGGTATAGAGAAGCTTATTAAAGTGTCACTCCACAATACAATAGCAAAATATATAAATATGTATGGTATTTTTATGTTACATTAATCAGAATTTGGCACACAATAGAATACATTGCAATTACTAAATGATATTTAGACAGACTTAAAGAAGTTCCAGATCTATACTTGTGCCCTTATTATTTCAGTTATTTTGCCTTTAATGTAAATAAACATGTGCAAACAATATACTTGCTCTTGTGAATTTATTTGGATGTTAATTACATTGTGCGAGCTGTCTCTTTAATACTGTGTGGTTTATGTACATGCTGCTGCTGATTGGGCTGACATTTTTGACACACCCACCAAACAAGAGAAAACACATCTCAAACCCCGTTGCACAACGTTGCACACCGTTTCCAGGAAACATGTCGTTCAAACCGGAAACCGTAGCAAAACGGTGCATACCGGTTTGAGCTTGAACTTGCCCCAGGTGTTTTTGTATTACATTTTTAGACACGTTTGGAGTGTAAATACTTATAGAATTAGAACTTATTGTCCTAGGTGTGAACGGGCCTTAAAACAGAATAGAACATGAATCACTTTTAATGGAATTTCCCCGAACGCTACATTAAAGGAACACTCCACTATTTTTGAAAATAGGCTCATTATCCAACTCCCCTAGAGTTAAACAGTTGAGTTTTACCGTTTTCAAATACATTCAACCGATCTACGGGTCTGGCGGTAGCACTTTTAGCTGTAGCATGGTTGACCAGCAGCCTGATAACTGACCGTGTAGTATTTTTTTTTTTTTTGCATAGTTAACATACTAATGTTTTGATGGATGATGATTGTAATGGAGGTAAAGACGATTACAGCCCAGATAGCACACGATCTGCAAGATGTCTGTTAAAGATTGGGCATCAACACTCACTCTGACAGAGGAGCTGTTCACTGGTCATGTTGAGCTGCCTTCAGATCACCACATTACACAAATTCAGAATGTTTTTATTTGCTTTATTAATTTGTGCTTTGCTCTGTTTAATAATTCTGAATGGATCTGTATATATTTACAGTATATACAGTCAGGTTAGGTATCCACTAAATTTCTTCAAAACGGAAGTAAGCCGTTTTCTGAGAATGTGCGAGACTTCCGGTTCATTAGCCGCTGTAGGGAAATAACGAGAAGAATAACAACGTGCAGTAAACGGTAAAACTGTTTGCAGTACAAACCAGTGTGCTCATAATTAAGATAATACATTAAAATAATAAGGTAAGACACACCAATTTGCAATATCAAGCAGTAAAACGAGCAGTTTTCTACAGCTAAAAATAGCTAGACGCAGATGAGGCCGGAAACCAGACCCATAAAAATTACAAATGGCCGCGCCCGGTCTTATGTGGAAATTATGGATAGCGGTCTCCGTGTGGTCCTGTTTGGTATTGCAGCTTGACTTGTAGTTTTAGAAAAAAGCTCTAAACAAATGTAACATTTATTTTTTTCCCTAACAGTTTTTCTGTTGCACTGTATACATAAATTGTGAATTATGAATTTTTTTTTTTTTTTTTAATTTATCTTGAAAATTCTTGAAGAAAATATAGTTTTGTGAGAATCATTCTCAATCTTAATCTTGCTTGAACTTGGTAAACAATTATCTTTATTTGAAATGTTTCAAGTCTTAAAGGGGTCATATGATGCTTTTTTTTAAAGATCATTATTTTGTGTATTTGGTGTAACAGAATATGTTGACATGCTTTAATGTTCAAAAAACACATTCTTTTTCAAATACTGTACATTATTGTAGGTCCTCTATGCCCCGCCTCTCTCAAACGCTTCGTTTTCTACAAAGACTTGGTTTAGTCATACTGGGATGTTTGCTAAAATTGTTGTACGCCACTGTGGTGCCCTAACTAGAAAATTTGGTGTCATGCCACCAAAATGTACATTGCAAGGGCGTTGAAATAGCTGAAATAGTTAGATCCAATCTGATTTGTCAGTTATGCAACTTCCTGTCAAGTCCTCTGGGAAATAATCTCATGCGAAAACAGCAAAGCCATATTTTCTCAAGACCATGAATTTGACATTTTATTTCATTCTTAGAAGATTAAAAAAAAAAAAATCTCAATTGGACGCAGTGTCCAAACTAAAATAGATATTTAATTTGCATTCCATTTTTGACAAGGATAAATAGATCTATAAATGAACATTTAGTGCTTAAAAAACAACAGGCTGCTCATAAAACAAGCCAGAGAATATGAACACAACGGTTTGTTTTGGACCGTGGAGACGTATTTATTTTTCGTTCCCATTTTGCTTCCGCATTGAATGTGTCACATGCTGTAGCGGCTCTATTGCTTTTGTCTGTTACCTGATCGACGCAGCGGCTATTTTGGTCTAGAATTGCATTTCTCAGAACATGCTGGAAGAAAACGATCCGATATTAGTTTTATAATTACAGAAGTACGATAAAATAGTGAAGTGGGCGCGTGTGTTCTGCTCTCCTTAATTTTACTTAGGCTCCATTTACGCCTAGGCTCACTGTTTAATGATCCTGTGTGGCCTCTGCATGTGGTTTGTAATGTGATCGGCTCGAGATGTGTGGAAGTGCGGTTCTGGCAGTGCGTCTGGTTCGATCTTTCGAGCATCGCAACTTTAAACCGGTGGTTTACAAAGACGTTAGTTTAGATCAGACGGTGGAGGAGTTTATTACATTTGTTAAGCAAGGTTAGACATGATGGCAACCGATTGTAACAAGAGTTCACCTGTTTATTTGTAAAAAGTAAATGAGATGTGTTTGATATTAAACAATGACTAATAATGAGAGCTAAACTAATGCACTTCTCTCTTTTAAGACGTTTCAACAAGAGCTGGATTGCCTCTGCCCTTTAAGAAGTTTGATTATGGTAAGTCTACATTTACTGCTTTATCAAAAATAAGATGAACAGTTATTGCATTAACATCCTGTTGCTGTGTTGTTGCAGACACAATGAAAATCATACACCAGGCACATGGCGCAAAGGTAGCTTTTAATCAGATCAACAACTTGTGGCATAAATTATGTAATATTGACATGATCACATTTGTTTAAAAACTGCTGCCGTAAACCTTTCATGATCACTCTGCTCTTTTTATTTCACAAAAGTTTAGAAATGTATACTTGATTGGTTAGAAACAACCTAATTCCTATGACAAATGGTTGAATTAAGAAAATGAGTAAATGTAACCTTAATAATAATATCTGTTTTTCATGATTTCAGACGAATGAGCTTGTAATGAGTTTAGAGGATGATGAAAAGTTGATTCTTCGTGATGGCTGCGGGTTAGGAGCATGTGGCGTTGGTATGTAAAAACTATATTTAGGGCTTCATGATTCTGTGCAGATTACATTTTTATAGGATGCTGCATTAAATTAAATATTTGATTTAATGCGTAATAAATTTTCCTCGTGTGCACATAAAAATGAACCTGTACCAGCTCAGTTCTTTATTTCAACACCTTTCCTCTCCTCACAGCCAATGAGACAGAACTTGCCTTCTTCAGAATGGCCGACTATGAAAAGTTCAAAGCCAATCCAAAGACTGAATGGTGATGACGATCAGGATGCAACACAAGAGGTCTTGGAGTATTTATTCGCCAGAGGCAAGCAAGTGTGAAAAGCTCTTCAAGTGGGATTGAACCATCAATTTTAATTTCATTTATAGCAATACTTTTTATATTTATTCTTACCGTTCAAATAGCTTCAGCATAGTTTGACAAATTTTGAGGGGAGATGTTTATGTTGTCAAGTGCAATTATCTTCTTAGGTAAGAATACTGTACATTTCAGTGCCGAAATGTGCATTTCGAATGCCAATTCTTTTTTTATTTCATTTACAACAAATCGGGTACCCTTTCAGCATAGTTTGACAAATTTTGAGGGGAGATGTTTTCATGTTGTCAAGTGCAATTATCTTCTTAGGTAAGAATACTGTACATTTCAGTGCCGAAATGTGCATTTCGAATGCCAATTCTTTTTTTATTTCATTTACAACAAATCGGGTACCAAATATCTTGTTTGGTTTAAATGACACCTTGGAAGTTGGTTGCCATTTTGTTCAATAAAGTTGAAGATGTGAATCATGTTTTCGCAACACTTTTGATTAAAAGTTCAATTCAAAACTTCCTACCTGTAGCTCATCCGCAGTAACAACAGCCAGTCAGTCAAACCAAGTGAAACTAAACGTATTAATACTTAATACGTTTTCTAGTGCACTTGCAGTCATGGCATGGTCATTATTGGTACTCAGTATAATGTTGGCCTTCCTGTTACAGATTGAGTGTGAAAATTGAGTTTACACAGTAACTGGCCCTGAGGGCAATCATCTGAGGTACTGACATAATAATAATAATAATAACATTAGGCATGTGTTAAGTCCTTTAAGTGCATAGAGAGAGTTGGAAAAATTCAGTCAGGAGTTACTGAAGGCTACAGTACCTCGGTACAAATCTTTTTTTCTGAAGCTAAAACTGTGGTATAGACCCGAGTTTTGAGTCTATGCATAGTTGTGAGACTCAACTATCAAAACAAAACACTGATGGCTTTTATAGGGAACAGAAATGGAGAGCTGAAGGTACTGTGTGTGCGTGTGAGCAGAGCTCTAGTCTTTGTGCTTCTGAGAGATCACAGCTGATGCACACTGCACCTAATAACACTAACCTCCATTCAGAACACTCAACTTGACTATAAAAATGTACCTTATCATATCTGTCTTTACTTTTAGCCTTACGAAGATGAGACAAATTTGCCAGTCTCATCATATCATTATTGTTCCCATTTTAGATGAGGCTGACTTAAGCTAGTCAGAATTTAACTAGTCTCAAGAATATTTATCAACAATTTCCACTTGGCAAAAGTGCATATTGGGTGTAATGTGTTGATCACTTGTGTGTTGTTGACCACTACACTTCCAACTGTATATCTGCTTAACACTTATAAGTATTTAATTACAAAAAGTTTTTAAACGCATGTGTTCTTGTATTCTTTCCCAGACTTCTATGGTATTCCATTAGCCTCCACATGGTGGTGCTGTAAAACTGGACAGTTGCGTTTACTCTCCCATCCGCGGCGGATTCGTGTCAGTCTGGTGAAGATGCATGGCAGAAACAGGAAGCAACGGCACACCAGAACAATGCAGGGTACAACGACAGCCAATAAGTAGCTTGGCGGCATGTAGAATGGATATGCCTCAATGTGGAAGGTAAAATCCCAGCCAAAGAAGAGTGTGTGCATGATGGACAGAGTCAGAGCAATGTAGCCCAAACCAGACTAAAGGATGAAAAGAGAGAAAACGTCATTCAAAAAGCTATGATTGTGCTTTTGGGTTGAATATGCTAATCAAAGACATTGCCAAAATTACGTACATATGAAATCATGCCACACTATCTGGTCAATATCAGAGCACCATTTCCATGTTTCCTCCCAACCTAAAAACCAACTATCAGTTGTTGCACCAAAACTAGCTAGACATGATTTACATCAACATGTAATGTGACGGATCAAATGCACCATGCACATTGGAAATTCAGGTACCAGGTATAAACTAGGCTTGTAATATTGTTTGGAATAGCATGTACAGGGTTTGTTCAACCCTGCACCTGGAGAACCAGACCATTTCTCAATATGCATTCCTATGCAAACTTGCATCCTTGTGTTCCTTGCTGAAGTTCAATTCAAATACTCAAGAAAGCAAGTACCAAGGACGCATGAAATTACCCGGTTACCAATATTGAGTACGCATTGCATGAAGACTTGAGAGAATTAGAAATCCCAGAAGTCATTTGGGGGTGGATGACATATAAGCGTCTCCTGTTCTCACTCAAGATGAGAGATTCCCACTGCAAACTTGTGAAAGTAAACATTTGACGTTTTGATTGCCATACATTTAAAAAAAGTGATAAAGAAATGGAGAAAGCCTGCAATATATTTTATTGCCATAGTTAAAATTCTTATAATTGGCAAAGTATAGGTTATATTTAAGACACACACACTCTTATACACGTACGCAGCAAAATTAAAAGATATTAATATAAAAAATAAGTAAATGTTTCAAAAGATGTCATCTGTAATGTTTTTGTTTATTTATTTATTGTACTGTGACTGTCAGTTGAGCAACAGTGATAAAGAAATGGAGAAAGCCTGCAATATATTTTATTGCCATAGTTAAAATTCTTATAATTGGCAAAGTATAGGTTATATTTAATAGACACACACACTCTTATACACGTACGCAGCAAAATTAAAAGATATTAATATAAAAAATAAGTAAATGTTTCAAAAGATGTCATCTGTAATGTTTTTGTTTATTTATTTATTGTACTGTGACTGTCAGTTGAGCAACAAGATCACAACATCTCAATTCTCACAAATATGCGTTTTGTGTCCTAGTGTTCTTTCGAGTTTCTTCTTTTGAGGTAGCCTGGCAAGAAGGGTCTCCACAACAACGCAAATCTGTTCTTTGCATTCTTAGAATTGAGAAACAGCCCCACTTTTCTGCTGAGTTTTAACACACACTCAAGGTCTTCAGAAGTGTTTGAGAGGGGTTGGATAAAATTTCTGCAGGACAGCGGGTCCAAGCAGACTTAAGTTCCAACCCTGCTCCAACACACCATTAAAGTTTTTCAGGTGTGCTGGATTAGGGTTGGAGCTAAACTGGTAGCCCTCCAGGTTCTAGCCCTGCTCCTGGAAAGCTTAGCTCCAACTCTAACCAAACACATCTGAACAATCTAATCAAGGTGTTCATGGTTGCCTAAAAAAATACAGGCAGGTGTGTTGGAATAGGGTTGAACTTAACTGCAGGTAGCAGGTACAGGGTTAGCTATCCTTGGTTAAAGCAGAGTAGGTACTAGTGATGGGAGAAGCAAACCTTTTCAAGCTTTTGAACCAATTGCTTCGCAAAATGATTCACTGTTTCGATGTGCTCAAAACACCACACACTGGTGATGCCTGCTGGTCAAAACTGTAAATGCAACAAAAACTCAGGCCATAACATGCATAAAAAACATTTTACAAACCCATTGCAAATGTTTAATTGAAAGTATAATACATTAAATAATAAAATACCATTAAATGTGAAGTGTCTGTATAATGTTTTTTTTTTAATAATTATTATTCATTTGCAGGGCTTGTTTTGTTTGTTTTATGGACAGCTTGGCTAAACCGGACAATAAGAGACTATTAACTACTAATTCTTTTAATTACACAAATGTCTCATTAAAAATGTCTACAAATGTATCAAACTGATCCGAGATCAGGTAAAAACTAAAGACGTTGGTTCAGTGGTTGTCAGCAAACCATTGAAATTTCGAAACAGTTGTGACGTTACGAAGCCTCACTTACTGAAATCATGTGACTCCGAGCCACTGTTTCGAAACAAATGAAAGCAAAGATTCCAAAGCTCTAAGAAGCAGTGCTTCAAAAGCGCCCATCACTAGTAGGTAGTGGTTCACCAAAGCTCCTGCTAAAGTAGTTATATGTGATTAATGTGTTACAGCAGTATTTCCCAACCCTGTTCCTGGAGGCAAACCAACAGTACAAATTATAGAACTCTTCCTAATCAAACACACCTGATTCAACTCAGTAGAGACACCAAGACCTGAAAAGGATGGGTCAGAGAAGGGAGATATCCAAAATGTGCGCTGCTGGTGTGCCTCCAGGAACAGGATTGGGAAACACTTTTATGGTGTGCATGGCCTCACCTGTACAAACGTAAACTCTCTCCAGTTGAGAGTGTTGCCCACTGTGGGAAGGGAAGTGATGGCCAGTAAAGAGAGGACACCAAGACCCAACACTCCACAAGAAAGGTACAAGTCAGATCGCCAAACACCCAGCTCATCCCAGGGCTCCTCTGTACCTGCTTTAACCTGATACATTCAGACAAACACACAGCAGACACTACTTCTGTGAGGCACTTTAAGTGACACACTAAACATTTAAAGATCTTTATATTCAGGTTGGCTTACCTGTCTGTAGGCAGTATTGACAAGCCTGTGCAGTGTGATTCTGCGCAGTGGCAGGCAAAGGCTGTAGACACCATGCAACGCTGCACAAAGGAAGCTCAACAGGCCCAGTTGTTTCCTCCGCTGCAACCAGTTGTCCAACCAGGATGGGAAACGCTGGTACTTGGTGCCCCTCCAGAGCTGCAACCATGCAGCAAACAATCCTGGGAAGTATACGAGTGCCAGGGTCACCAAGGCTACTGCTGGCAGGCTCTCGTTCACCAGGTCAAGGGCGAGACGGTAGAAAGCATTGTGTCCTCCTTGTGCAAGAAATGGCAGCAAAATTCCCCGCAGGAAACCGTAGCCATAGAAGAAGAGAAAAAGGAGGAAGGTGACGACAACCGGGCCACTCCAAGATGGGAATAGGCGCAATGGGGCTACCTCAATTTCTCGAGCAGCAGACAAGCCACCCATATCCACTGGGTGGAAGCCCATCTGCCGAGCCAACTGCACAACTTTCTTCTTCCCTTCTGTACTGTTACTGCAGATCATGACCTATAAAGGTAGAAACTCACAGAGTTCAAATAAGCCTGTATTTGTTTTCAGCAAATACATATAAGCCAACAGCAGCCCTTACCTGTCTGCTTCCATCATGAGCCCCAGTCTGCAGCTCCCAGGTTGAAACCGTGTTAAAACCTTTGACCACTGGACTGTCTGGAAACAGCTCAGCTAGCCGTTCTGCATTGGACGGCCCATGGATATTCATCTCTGCGCCGTTACTTACATCCACAAGCACCTTCCCTGCAAGTGCAGACTGTAGCCCCAGCAAGGAGCAGTAATGCTCGGGGAACAAGGCCATGAATACCAGGCACACTGCTTGTGATACTGCCCCCTCCTGGTTCCTC